ACAGACAGAACAAAAATGAGAGGGAAAAACACAGTTTATTTCCACCCTAATTACATTAAGCTATATCTGTTTTCTGGTCTCCTCTGGTCTGAAAGTAACTGGGAGCTGTTGCCGATGACACGCAAGGGTAAGCAGTTAAATGAATCCACCATCCATTGTGTTTTTGTGGCTCACGGAAAGCCAGATCCCTGCCTCGGGACAACAACAGGCTTGGAGAACAGCTATAAAACCCAGAGAGAGAACTTCTATGCCAAGAGGGAACTATCGTGCATTCATAAACATCTTCTGTTAAAGGAAGTAAACAACACAAGGTCCTGGTTTTAAAAATGTAATTTGGATACACATATCTAATGCAGCTGGAGCTACTTCAGAATGACTGAAGCAGGCAGATATTTTTGTACATGCATGCCTATGCCGTCATTGCCCTCTTATGTATGAAAGCCTGGGATTTTTAAAAACAAAGCAACTACTTTAAATATCTGATCACTCGTAAGGTATCACAAGATTATACTATACTGGGTTAAAATGAGGGGGAACTTGGCTATGTCAGGACAATAGGGGAGAGGCAGCTCAGTTTACTGATTAATATATTCCATTATACTCACAGCCTGGCCATTGGCTTCATACAGTGGACACTTCTGTTTGATCTTGGCCAGCTCCATGTTAACCTGCTTACTGATCACTGCCATGGGATTCCCTCCTGAACAAGAACGAAAACACACACACACACACACACACACACACACACACACACACACACACACACACACACACAAGACAATTGATGACACAACATAAACATGTACAATAACACCCTCTACAGGTTGATTTTAGTAACTGTAGAATCTCTTTGAGAAGACTATAACTTGACTTTGTTAAAAACAAAAGCCTCAATTAGTCACTGAGCATTAAGTGCAAGTGTGAGTTTTCTATCTAATCATACATTACACAGGCTACGGAGTTAATGCTGTGACTGACGTCAGTATTCACATAAACAAACTGGATCGGAATCTTACCCAGCCCCGTCACCACCATGGCCCCCAAATCTGCAACATAGTTGCCCTTCCTGAATGTGGCCACTCTGCCTCCAACACGGTCCTGAATAAAAATATTAAGTAAACATTTTTTAGTGCAACATTTCAATTATAAACTTAAAAAAGGAAAAACAGCAAGTTTCGGTCACTTTATTGGTTATTATCTAAACCTTTAGAAAACAGTATGTATACCATATTATAGTATTATAATAGTGTATAGGTGGAGGCACTAATCTCACAGTGCTATTTATTGTAATTATATTAATATATAATACAGTTAAAGTTTCTAATTCATTAAATGATTTAAACCAATGGCTGGTTAAGAACATGTGACAAAAACAACAAGCTGAAACAACAGAATAATAGAAACCTTACTGGTGACCTACCCTGGCTTCCAATACTGTCACATCCATCCCAAAGCTTTGGAGCTGCCTGGCTGCGGCTAGGCCAGACACACCTCCGCCAATGACTATAACCTTCCCGGTCTTCTTAGCTGCAACAGCAATCAGGGGGTGTATTAACTGTGTATCATTACTGGCTATGTGGCTAATGACTGATGTTATTTTATCGGTGCAATGAATGAACTGAACTCACTTGGTAAAGGCTTGACCCTCTTGTAAATGCCAAAGTTAATGAGACCGTGTCTTTCTAAGTAGCTATGTATCCTGTGGACCAGCACAGCATCACCTAAAAAGAGAACAATTGGAATTGGAATTTCCCCATTGTGGGACAAATAAAGGAATATCTTATCTTATCTTAACAAAAGCACATCAAATCTCTACACCTGCAATCTTCTTGTAAAAATAAATAAATTAAAATGAAGACAAATAAAATTAAAACGTTTAATTTAATGTCTCACTGTTGTATGGAGCTTCAAGCTGCTGTGCTGTGGCCTCAAAGGTTAGCTGGATCTTAGGGTTGTCCAGCCACAATTGGAGCTAGACGAGGTTAATGTGAATTAAGATACAGTAGTACAAATGTTTAAAACAACGATCCCATAGTCTGTTTTGAACACAACGTTGTGCATTTACAATGGCACTTACCGTACGGTTGCGGATGTAGAGGAAGACCTTCTGAGTCTGCTGCGGACCACTGATGATGTCAGGGAAGCAGGCAGCCTCCTGGGATGTCATACGGTCATGAGGAAGACGGCTCTGAAAAGCAGCTCCTTCCACACCTAAAAATTAACATACATTTCACTACTATAATAACAGCACTGAGTAATGTTTAGGACGAATTTAGGACTAAAAGAAAGAGCATTTATGTGCTATGAGTTCCAAATTGAAATCAAACACAAGTAAAATTTTCTGTGAAAGACACAGCCTTCATGTAAGTAGAGAATCTCTTCATAAAGACTTTTTACCAAAGCTTTTACTTACATAAAGTAATTGCTTTGATATGATGCATCAAGTTTCAAACTCACCAGATGGTTCCTCTGGTTCACTGTCATTCTCTTCCTCTACTGGTGGAGGTGGTGGTGGGATGACCTGCTTCCTCTCTTTCTCTGCCTTGGCATTCCTCTCCTCCTCAGAGTAATATTCGTCTTCCGACAGATTGGCCAGGCTCTCGTCCATCTCGCGGTACTCCACCTGCAACAGTAGGCACAATAAAAGCATCATTAAAACCAGCATTGCAAGTTCGGGTTAGTTGGACTGCTCCCACATCACTTAAATGTGCCAAAAACTTCCTGGGAGTAAGAAACAAATACCATGAACATCACGCTGAAAAGACAATTATAAATTACTTCCGTTTCTAATTTTCACTGGGGCCCACGTGCCAGTAAGAACCTATGACCAAGATAAAGAGAAATATGTACATGTATTGAGCCTTTAAATTAAACAGATGGTCATAAAATATAGTGACATTTGTATTTAAATTTGCACTCATCATTTTTGGCAGCATCATCTCCTCCCTGAGTATACAGGGAGGAGGCAGAACCCTAAAATGTTTACTTTTGCTCGCTTGCGACGACTCGTTCTGCGAACTTCTGCTGAGTCTTGGTCTACCCCCCCAGGCCCTGCTTGGTGAGGCAAAGGGGCTCCTCCAGGTTCCCCACTAGGGGATGACCTCTCTTTCTTCTTTACATCCATTAGGCCAGCAGCTGAGGCTGACGGCCCAGTCTGGGCATCAGAAACCGGGGCCCTATCCCCTCCTGCTGCTCCTGCATTAGATGAAGAGGAGGAGGAAGAGGAGCCAGCGTCTGACTTCTTGCTAGACAGCATCATGGAGGATGTTGGAGGCCTCTCCTGAACAAAAGGGGGAACAAAAATGAGATGAAACCCATCAAAATGAAACATACAACAGCCCAAAGTTACAATATGTTTAAGTGAAATGGTTGACACTTGAATGTTTACAATAGTATAATGGAAAAAAAAGTTACAAAATATTCCTAAAAGAAGAGATGAAAGATGGTGAAGTGTGGGTTGTTTAAACAAAACAAAACCATTCTAGGGCCTTTTGTGGCATTCCCAATTAAGAATATCACTCAAATTTGTCAGAAAATTGCCTATTACAGTTGAAATGTAAAACCTACAAAATCCATGCTAAATGATTTTCTCAATGTCTTGCAAGTGTTTGATAAACAAACAGAAACATTCACTTAAAACCCCCTATGTCATCTGGTCACTTTGCTGCTGGGGGCAGTGACTGCACCTGCGTAACAACCACCAAATACTGTCGGGCTTTGGGTACTACTTGGATGCTTCACTCAATAATATCACATCTGTATCACTGAATGATTCAAGTAACGTGAGCTGTGCATGAATGTCATGGTTTATGAAATGAGGGCTCCATGGTTACAGTAATCTGGTCTTGTTTTACCCATTTCTCCGTGCACCTGGTAATATCCATTCAAACACTAAGAAATGAAGACAGAACCAGAAATATGGTTACGAACAGGACCAACTGAACAAAAAAAAAAAAAAAAAAAAAAGTTGGCCTTTTAATATCACATCCATTGAGATTTAGCTAAACATGTGGAAAAACCTCTTAGCAAATATTATATATTATAACATTGTAGCTCATTTCAGCACTTAGCCGGATTAGCCAAGGAAGTTAAGAGCACCGACTCGAGGAAACCTAAAAAAAAAAAAAAGGCTGAACTTGTATGAATCCTGGTGCTTGGTTGATCAATTCAAATGAACAAAACATCCATAAATCACATTTGCTGTACCGACACCGTTAGTAGACCGTTTAATTGGCATCCTGACCAAAATGGACTATCGTTAGCCAGCAGCAGACTGCTACGGCCGCTACCAAAGTTAGCTTGCGTTAGCTATCGGTAGCTTTGTTCCAGACTACGACTTGCATACAAACACATACGCTAACTTACCTACTATAAAATCATGTTCCTTCGCTATCACTGCAGCGCAACATGTAGCTGCAAACATACATCGGAACTGTTTTTCAAATTGGTTTTTTCTTTCAGATGTATTACACAAGACCTTGCTACGTTAGCTAGCACAGCTAACAATGAGCCCTGGCTAGCACCAACACTGACACAGTAGCAGGTGCGACCTAGTGGAAACGAGAGCGCCGACATCGCTCACAAAGGGATTTATATTGATACACTGACGGTAAAAAGGTGGGTAAACATTCCTACATCAGGGGAGGTTGTTTTGGGAAATAAAGGTGTGCATTAAATAGTGAAAATATGAATATTACCTCTCAAACCTCCGAAGATGTCAACACAAAGACGGCACAGTAGCAGGTCTCCTTTCAATGAACTCTTTCGTGATTGGTCGATCGAGAACGTTACCTAACACGACTCAGCGACACGATTGGTCGAAATAACTGTCAATCAAAAAGAAGGCGGGCATTTATTGCTCAAAACTACCGCAATGAATCTGTTTGTTAGTTTGGGTTTTAATACACCAATGCTTTTAAAACAAACATTTTTTTTCCACGTTTTTTTTTAATTTTATTTTATTTTTTAAAACAATCGGGTTTACGTTGCATTGTGTTGCTGATCAGAATCAAGCGTTTCCGCTCCGTTTATCCTCCGTTTACTGTTTGTGGTGAAACTAAAAAGAAAAAAACTGATCCCAGATCTGCAAACAACCTGACGTCAGACTGAGAGAAGAACAGGATGGGCAGGTGAGGTGGGGGTGGACAGGTAAAGGTAGAGCTTCTCCGTCGCGGTTAACGCAGCATACCGATGTTTTGTTGATTCCCTTTGTTTGTTTTTCATTTTGAGCCGACTGTGGGTAAGTAACAACTAAAATCCAGATTTAAATCGTTAATATATTTGTGCCTCACTTTAGCCATTACCAACGTGTTTCAACAGTAGTGAAAAGTCCTCTTACCTGTGTTTTGCTTTCGGCTAATCTGGGTGTATCTGGTAGTTAAGTTTCAAGCTTTTTGTGTGTGATAAGAAGCATTTTAGGGGTTGTGGTGAGATATATTCTTTAAGTTATAGCAGCTGTTAGCTGTCTGAGACACCCTACATTAACTCAAAATGAGAGTTTACACCTAAAAAGAAATGAGGAAGTCTTTAGTGTCACTGCAGGGGAAATAAATCTAGGTTTTATAGGGAGTGTTTAACATGTTTGCCATGGATATTAGGCTTTATAATACCCTTTAAGTGCAGTATATCTAACAAATAAGGAGCTGATTTTAACCATTTATCCACAGAACCAAGAAAATGGTGAAGGAGGAGTTGGCCAACCGGCCTGACAACACCGCTTTCACTCAGCAGAGGCTTCCGGCATGGCAGCCAATGCTCTCTGCAGGGATTGTCATTCCAGGGTTTGTCATCATCGGCCTGGCTTTCATTGGCATTGGCGTTGCTCTCTTTGTCACCTCACAAAGCATTCAACTGTTGGAGGTATGGCTGTGATCCCCGAACACACAAACCAGCCCCAGGTGTTGCCCTGAGAGTCATGGGTCAAATGTCACCAACAGAAAGATAATAAGACAGACACAACATAATGTGTTTACTGGGTAGAAACCTTAAGTCCTTATTAAAACATCTGTTTCCAGAGTTTGAGATGAAAGAAAATAGCATAAGGTCCAAAACCCTATGTGTCTATTTGCTCATTCGCTTATCACTTGTAAGCGATATTGTACTCTTGACTTTTAAGAGGTGTGGTGTCAGTAACAGTCTATGGAGATAGGTGTTGTAGCAATCAATAATTAATAATAAGCTTTTGTTCTTCTTTCCTCCACAGTTAGACTATACTGGAGTTGAACAAACCTCACCATGCTTCAAGTGCTCTGATCCAAATGCCAAGAACTGTATGTGCGAGCTGACCTTCTCCACTGACACTCTATTTAAGGTTCAACAACACATTTTACACACACACACACACACACACACATACATACAAACAGTTAATTATGTTGAATTGGGCTCCTGAATCTGACCACTGTCTGTCTTTTTGTGATTCTGTTTTCCTCTACAGGGGCCTGTGTTCTTTTATTATGGTTTGTCCAACTACTTCCAGAACTACAGAAGTTATGGTGTGTCCAAAGATGATGACCAGCTGTCTGGAAACCTGGATAACTTTAAGGTGAGTTAACAATATAGGATATTGAAAGAAATCACACAAACACATACAACACTCTGGTTTAAATTTCCAAGGAAAAAACAGTATCCATATGTTCTCAGTTGTAATAAAGACTTTAAAGATATGCTGAGATGAGTACAAATATGCTAAGCTGTCATCTTAGACAAACATATTGGGAACGTTTTTGTAAAAATGTACAGTACTTAAAGCTGCATTGGTTGTACCTCATGCCGTTGACCATCTGTAACACAAAGATTTTTTTTGAGCAATGCAAACACCATTTTCTCTCTTGAAGTCTCCCAGTGACACCTGTGCCCCCTATGAGTATGACAGGAACAACAAACCATTTGTACCATGTGGAGCAGTAGCAAACAGCCTGTTCAATGGTATGTATGGACGTTTAAAATTACCATAATTCATTTGTAATTAAGTTTATTTGCTATGTTAAGGAAGTATTCATTCTTGTTTGTTTTTTAAAGACACTTTCAAGCTCTATCAGATCGTCAATGGGGCAAAGAAGGTGGTGCCCTTGGATGGAAAAGGGATCTCATGGTGGACAGACTACAACATCAAATACAGAAACCCTGCTGTCACACCTCTGAAGAACGCTTTCAATGGTAGTTAATTTAGTTGTATTTACTGGAACTTGCTGTCTGTTCTGTTTAAGTAGTGCTATGATGGAGATAACTTGTGTTTACTGAGCGGTTAAAATGAATTGGGTGGGCATAAGGCTTTTATAAAGTAGTAAAGGAGCTGTGTTGAATGGAGGAAGGGTATTGTGGACGGAGGCTGTTTAAATTGAGTTCAGTGCAGTAAATAATGGGCTGCATGGGGTTCTTTTTTAGGTGAAATAACATGGTTAATATAATGTCTAAAAATCATGATAGCTGATTAAAAGTTTCACTCTCCAGGTACTGTGAAACCCTTGTATTGGTCCAAGCCTGCTTATGAGTTGGACCCCTCAGACCCCGCTAACAACGGCTTCATCAATCAAGATTTCTTGGTGTGGATGAGGAGGGCAGCCCTGCCAGATTTCAGAAAGCTGTATCGGCGAATCACAGACGGAGATTATGCAGAGGGTCTGCCAGCTGGAAACTACTCCCTTCAAATTGCCTACAGTATCCTTTCACATGTTACAGATTCTGGGATGATTTTAAGGATTGTGCTCGGAGGTACAGCTGGTTGTGTTTGTACGAGTAATGTAAAATGTACACCCTATGTAATCTTTTATCCATAAAACAAATTGATATTGTATAATATTTATATCTGGCTATTGGTCATACATGCTTAACAGACACCAAAAAGCCAAAACAAGTCATTCTGAACACATTGACAGTAGCAAACATTTAACTAGTGCAAGTGTTGGGTATGTGGAAGAAGACACATTTTACTTGTTCAAACCAGCATATGGTCTGGATAATAAGTTATCAATGTGCTTTAAACAAGGACATTTGTGTTTTACACGGTTCCCTCCGCATTAGAAGCTTTACAAAGCTTCAAATCTACCTAAAGGGGTCAGCCATTGAAGTTTGTGTTGTCACAATAACAGCAGCTTAGGCAAACTTGTTTAACCGGTTGGGTGTGGTTCTGTTGTTACCGGGGCAGAGTGAACACAATGACTCAGGAGCTCTTTGAGAAGTGGGGGGGAAAAAACAAGCAAATTTTCGGGGGTATAAGTAAATGAGCTAGGCAAATGATTATTCATGATTGATTGACTTTGTCTACCTAAAGTCTATGTAAATACCTCAAAGACATTTTTCTTTTAGCTTGAAGCGCCATACTACTGTGTTTCCAAGTTTAAGTCACTTAACTAAATGTAAATATGCACAAGGACATATTTGCTTACCATTTTCAATGCAAACCCAACAACAAAGCTACTGCTTTCTATTCTTTTCTGTACACATTGAAAATTAGTGAATTGATTTTCAGACCCTTGGTTCAGTTGTGTAATCAATCACATCCATTTAACATTTTTATCAGTATTACATTATCATTAAGTAATGATGATGATAGAAATTTCAAAAACTGTTGTGCTTTGATTGATGGTTTATAGTAAATGGGTTAAACCATGAAACCACGGCTGTTTTAATATAATATCTGAATACAGTTTTGTTTTCAATTTTTGCTATGTATCCTTAACATTTTGCCCCCCAGACTATCCTGTTCTGAGCTTTGAAGGGAGAAAGAAGGTAGTGTTCAGCAACGTGTCCTGGATGGGTGGCAAGAATGAGTTCCTGGGCATTGCCTACCTCGTGATTGGTTCATTGTGTGTTGTCATGTCCGTAGTCATGCTCATTGTCTATGCTAAATTCAAGTTTCCTGAGGAAGAATGAGTTCCTGGTCATGGACTGTGGTTGGCTGGGGGTTAATCTTCCCTACCAACTATCAATTTTACTTTTTATTTTCTATTATGATGAAAGCACGGTACAGTGCTCACACACAGTGGAGTATACAGCTAGAACCACCACTATGGACTGAAATCATGTGTTACATGAAGTCGCCCCCCAAGGTGCAGAAGAAGCGTGAGGCGGTACCCACAAATGGAGTTTCCCCATTGACTGCAAAATAGAAACTGGCTTTGTGGACACTGTGGGATGATTTCCAATGTGGTTACATGTGCAAAAACACTGCAATGTCAGTTACGACTTACTGCTAACAGCTGTAATAGATGTTTCTTGTTGGTATCTAAAATGTGAGTGATTGATCATTAGGGAAATGTTGTTGCTCACAAGACCAGACCAATATCCTCATAATAATGTATGTTAATTCTGCCGCTCTATACTTGATAAAGCCTCCACTATAAATCTTAAAGGATGTCCAGGTAGAGTGAAAGTAGAATAGATATTCACTGTGCACATGCTGATATCTGCTGGACAAAAGGAGGCCTACAGCTTACGTGTGCTCTGCTTTATTTATGCTAGTCTAGTTTATTTTCTACAACACTTAGATGTGGCTGTTGTGTTTCTCTCAGGCTACAAGTATCTTAAACTTGTGCTTTTATAATCACAAAATGAGCTGGCTCCTCATTTTAGGTCAGTAATAAGGTTAAAGCCATAAACGATTTGATAAGCCATTTGATACTGGACACACAGTTACTCTAGAAGTGTGTGATATGTGTAGCTTAGCTTGGAAATAATGCTGTAAAGTAAACTGTGGGAATATATTGCTCTTTAAACTCAGGGATCTGGTGTACTATGCAAGCTCATGTTGTCTTCTATGTACTGAAATTTTACTTCATGTTTATATTTATTTAATAAAACATCAAAACCATAGCTTCACATTCCTCTCTTTCTTATTAGGACATTTATATTATTTAAGCAACAGAGCAATGCTTATTTATCATCATAGTTTATCATTTTTAGCAGCCTATGCTTGATATAATGCAGGCTTTCTGCATTTGTATCCCTCAACCCCTTTATTTGTTCAGAGGTCTCAAATATCTAAGACCATATTATGCATGGATCTTCCCCAAAAGCTTAAAACGAAGAATCTAATTCATGTTTAACATAAATTTTATGGGGCCCTGGCTCCAAGTAGTCTTTTATTCTTAATGTTAAGATTTTAGTTTTTTTTTTTTAAATATGTAGAAATAATAAAAAATAATTTTGTTTGCATGTCATTAATTATTGATAGCATTAGACTTCAAAAGGTGTACTTTGCAGACGCAAGTCTAATTGTGACAGATATTGTAGTCAACGTTGTATCATTACTGGACTGGCACATTGTTTTTAACAACAAAGAAGATTTCTTGATTTATTGCTGCATCATCGAAGACAACTCCCTCCCTCCCCCTGCCGGTCATACACGGGAATAACAAAAAGGAGAGCGAAAAAAAGTGATTCGTTCAACTGCATCCTGGATATTGTAGTTTTCTGGCTCGTACAATGCACTGAAACACGCACACCCTTGAACGACAAGTCCCACAATCCATTGCGCCAATAAACCTGACGGCAACAGTTATTGCGTTTTGACAGCAGCAGTCAACCTCTGACCGGCTCTGTAGGAACTGCGCCCAGCCAGTAACGTCAGCCTCGGTTTCTTTGTTCACTTTCACGCCGCGACCGGTCTTCGTTGACCGTATCGAAGCATGTCCGACGGTGGGGGCACGGAGGAAAACTCCGGCACTATGGAGGTGTCGGCCGTGCAAACGGTCGCTGACACGTCGGTGCTGCAGAAGCACATTCGGAAATTGGTGCCGCTGCTCCTGGAAGATGGCGGCGAGGCCCCGGCTTCACTGGAAACCGCCCTGGAGGAGAAGAGCGCCGTGGAGCAGATGAAGAAATTCCTGGCCGATCCCCAAATTCACACCATCCTGGTCGAGAGAAGTGCACTCAAAGGTACTTTTAGGATGAAGCGACCAGCTAGCTAATATAATTTGAATTAAAGGGCCGTTAATTATTCTGCTGTTAAATTCGCCACCAGAGAAACGTTTGTAAACCCAACGTTCGCGGAGTAACCGTTAACGTTAACGTTATATGTTTGACAGCCGGGTGGATAACCGCGTTAAGATACCGGTAAGATAACGGTAAGATACCGGTAAGATAACCCTAACTACGCCACACTGGGTGGGGAGGAGAAAACCGAGCCAGTGACAACACAATACTCTCCAATGAATGTGCTCACTGCGAGCTATCGTTTTAAGGTGTGATACAGGTTAACTTGACATTTCGTTACCATTGCGTATGTTCAAGTGCAGTTTATTCAGATAATAACGTGTTGACAGCGGCTAATAAAAAAAAAAACACTAAAAAAATCAGAGAAATCCAAAGAGAGTGAATCCTTTGTTATAACTACAAGTCATGCTGTGTGCACCTTCTTGGGGTTTTATCATGTGAACCAGCTTGTGTCAATGAGCACATTATCTTCAGTTTCCTTCAGGCAAATTTAAGCCTGAGCTTTTAGAGCTGCTTGAGCTTAAGTAATGTTTTATAAGGGCTGAACCTTGATCCCTCAATACTGCACATGACCAGCCCCTGAGTCTGAGTCTGAGCCTGCAGGTTTTGGATTCCCAGCCAGAGAGAGTCACTGCCCCAGCCGATTCATGTTGTCGCTCTCAGAATACTGATGCTGCAATGCAGAGAGTGCAGTTTCTGCATGTGTCTATCTTTGTCTACAAACCATGACCTCACCTGTAAGGGAGGGTGGGGACATAGATGGATGGGAGTGAACGTGCCAGATTGCACTGTCATCTTACTGTAATATGCAGATAAACTCAACTCCTCCTGTGCCACAGTTTACTTGCCCATGGACACTCTTATAACGCCTTGATTTGTATTTGATTTCTGTTGCAAGCACTCTTTATATGTTGATTTAGATTGGTAATGTCTGACTCAGATTTTATTTGTTCTTCACACAGAGGATGTTGGAGATGAAGGAGAGGAAGAGAAGGAATGCATCACCTATAACGTCAGCATTGATATACACTATGGGATCAAGTCCAACAGGTAAAAGGGTCTACTTTTCAGCACTGCAATTACGTGTAATTTTATCAGTTAAACTGTAAAAAAAAAAAAACTCCCTTTCCTCACATAACCTTGTACTCTAAAAGATTATTTTTAATATTATTAAATTATTAATTACTGCATAGTACTCAGCTTCCACTTCATTTAAGTTCTTTCTGAACTATGTTTTTATGCCTTTTTTTTCTCCGTTGCAGCTTGGCTTTGATCAAGAGGGCAGTTGTCATCGACGCAGACAAGCCCATATCAACCCAAGTTCGAGTTCTGACTTTGAGCGAGGATTCTCCCTACGAGACGCTCCACTCTTTCATCAGCAATGCCGTCGCTCCTTTCTTCAAGTCCTACATCCGCGAGTCTGGCAAGGCAGACAGGTAATCCTGAAATTTTATATTTTCATCTAATAAACTGAATCATGAACTGAGTAGAAAAGAAAAACATAACGTTGACAGAGGATTCATCTGCGCTATAATCTCTGTCCCAACTTTCTAGAGATGGGGATAAGATGGCTCCCTCCGTGGAGAAAAAGATTGCTGAGCTGGAGATGGGCCTTCTCCACCTTCAGCAGAACATTGAGATTCCCGAGATCAGCCTGCTCATCCACCCCATCATCACCAACATCGCCAAGCAGTGCTACGAGCGCGGAGAAAAGCCCAAGGTCACTGACTTTGGAGACAAAGTGGAGGACCCAACCTTCCTTAACCAGCTTCAATCTGGAGTCAACCGCTGGATCAGGGAGATCCAAAAGGTAAGAGCCTTTCCCCATATTTCTATCTCAAACAAAACATTGCTGTTATACTTCATGTTATAACAGCAGGATGGACAAATATTTCTCTTATACTCACCTCTGGGTTTATTTGTCTCCCCCACCCACCCTTTTACCAGGTGACAAAGCTCGACCGTGACCCAGCTTCAGGAACAGCCTTGCAGGAGATCAGTTTCTGGCTGAATCTGGAGCGAGCCCTCAACAGGATCCAGGAGAAGAGAGAGAGCCCCGAGGTTCTGCTCACGCTGGACATCCTCAAACACGGAAAACGTTTCCATGCTACAGTCAGCTTTGACACAGACACTGGTAAGTTGCAACCAGTTGTTACAATTTTGTTTAACTTCTGCTGTGTTTACTGGCAGTGTTTTGAGTACAGTATGATTAGTAGTCTTTTCTTTCTCTACTTCTCAAAGGTCTGAAACAGGCTGTGGAAACGGTCAATGACTACAATCCCCTGATGAAGGACTTCCCTCTCAATGACCTGCTCTCTGCTTCGGAGCTTGATAAGATCCGCCAAGCCCTGATAGCCATATTCACTCACTTGAAAAAGATTAGGAACACCAAGTACCCTATCCAAAGAGCACTGCGTCTAGTAGAGGCCATCTCCAGGGACTTGAGCTCCCAGCTCCTCAAGGTGTTGGGCACCAGGAAGCTCATGCATGTTGCCTACGAAGAATTTGAAAAGGTTGGTATGGTTGATCTAAAGCCTATTGTAATTTTTACACAGAAGTTCACTCTTACTTCAACTACTCAAAATAGTACATGTCTTCCTAAAATGTCCTTTAAACTTTTCTGTGCAGGTGATGGTGGCATGCTTCGAGGTGTTCCAGACCTGGGAGGATGAGTATGAGAAACTGCAGGTGCTTCTGAGGGACATTGTGAAGAGAAAGCGAGAGGAGAACCTGAAGATGGTGTGGCGTTTGAGCCCCGCCCACAGGAAGCTCCAATCACGTCTGGATCACATGAGACGTTTCAGAAGGCAGCACGAGCAGCTGAGGGCTGTCATCGTCCGCGTGCTGAGGCCTCAGGTAAAATACCATCCGTAATATGTAATGGCCACAGTTGAACTGACACCTTACTATTATTTACTTTTTTCATTTTCATTTTAATGTTGTTTTCCTGTAGAAACTAAATAAGAATCAGGCTTTATCCTCACATAAGAGAGATGGTTAAGAGAGAGATGTTTTTTTGTCTCCAGGTGTCTGCTGTGCCACAACATGCCCCTGGCGAGACAGTTGAGCCTCAAGACATGAAGGTAGCTGGAGTTCTCTTTGATGCTGCTGATGCCAATGCTATCGAAGAGGTCAACCTGGCATACGAGAATGTCAAAGAGGTCGATGGCCTGGATGTGTCTAAGGAAGGCATGGAAGCCTGGGAAGCCGCCATGAAGCGCTACGATGAACGTATCGACCGCGTGGAGACCCGTATCACTGCCCGCCTGCGTGATCAGCTGGGAACCGCCAAGAATGCCAACGAGATGTTCCGCATCTTCTCCCGCTTCAATGCTCTCTTTGTGCGCCCCCACATCCGTGGTGCCATCCGGGAGTACCAGACGCAGCTCATCCAGCGCGTGAAAGATGATATTGAGTCACTGCATGACAAGTTCAAAGTGCAGTATCCTCAGAGCCAGGCTTGTAAGATGAGCCACGTCCGAGACCTGCCACCTGTGTCTGGTTCCATCATCTGGGCCAAGCAGATCGACCGTCAGTTGACTGCATATATGAAGAGAGTGGAGGATGTTCTGGGAAAAGGCTGGGAGAACCATGTGGAGGGGCTGAAGCTGAAGCAGGATGGAGACAGCTTCAGGGCTAAACTCAATACTCAAGAGATATTTGATGACTGGGCTCGCAAGGTTTGGAGCTGATCATAGACATAAATGTAGTATAGGATGTGTTTTTAAATGTTATTTTCCTTTTTTTTTTTTTATTTGAAAAATTTTCTCGTCTTTGCTTCTTTTGATGCATGTTTCTATTTTTTGTCAACTATTCTTCTGTTTTTAAATATTTGTTTCTCCTTTCTTTTGTAAATTAGGTGCAGCAGCGCAACCTAG